CGTCGCGCTGTGATGACGTCACAGCGCGCTTTTGTCGAGCACGATTTTGTCCTATGCGCTTTTGTGGTGGAACCCTTTCTCCAAGGACAGATGCAGCCACAAGAGCTGGGAGGCTGGAAGTGAGCAGGGGGCCCTGCAGAGGAAGGCTGGAGGGGGTCACAACACCGTGGGGGGAGGGGCATTTGGCAGCAGGGAGAGGGAGGACCCGTTTCTCCTAGGAGTAGGCAAGTATCCAGGAGAGTTTAGTTTTCCAACAGAATGCTACATTCTCTGTTGTGCTTTATTGTGGGAGACCTGTGTGGGTCTCAGCTCCAAGCAGGGTGGGGGGGGGGAGAACCGGGGGACATCAGCTGGGCTGGGGAAAGCACAAGACCATCATGTGTGTCCCAGAGTTTCCTTTGACATTTCCTAGAGGTCTTCCTTGGAAATCCCCCCCCCCCCCGCCCCGGCACTCTGGTGCAGTCCCGATCTGGGCTGCAGGTGGCAGCACTCAACTTCTCTTTGCCTTGTTCTCCAGCTGTAAACAACCTTTCAGAATTTGGCTGGCAAGCTTTCTCCCCAGCCAGCTCTGCCTCCCTCCTCCCGTTTCTGTGGAATTGGGGCAACTGCCTCCAAAACTCACTCTCTCTCACTCTCACTCTCACTCTCTCTCTCTCTCTCTCTCTCTCACACACACACACACACACACACACACAGAGACACAGACAGAGGGGCCCAAGGCAAACACCGCAGCAGGCTCAAAGGAGAGGTGGCAGTGAGCTGTGCCAAGGAGCAGCCAGAAGACAGAAGCAACAGCCTCCCCCACCCCACTTGCTCTCTTCTGATGGGAAGGAGGGAACAGAGCAAGCAGCTCCCCAAGGCTCCGGACAAGGCCTCAGCGGGCACTGCCACCCGAGTGGCCCAGTGGGTGCAAAAGCAAAGGTGTTGGGGTGCACTGAAATGCCAGAGTTGCGGCTCATTCATTTCCTGGGTCAGCGAAGGGGGCAAGTTGCCCCAGGTGGATTGGCTCTCTTGAGAGGGGGCGCCAGTGGGAGGGGGCCAAGGCCTGTGCCAACTCAGGGGCAGAGAATGTTGCAGCAGGAAGCAGCCCTTCTTGCCTACCCAGATGCTGGCGAAAAGGCATAAGAGCCACAGAAACAACAGCTGCCACCCACGGCTGTTCCTGTTGACCTTTTCTCAGCCCTCCCCCTGAAAACCCCACCCAGGAGCCCCCAGGGGTTTTTGAACTCCAGGTGGGATTGAAGGAAGTGCGTGGGGGGGTCGTCCAATTCACCAGGCATTTTCTTGGTGAAGTTCGGGGGGGGGGGCTCCTGGCACTCTGGCTGCAGCACCGGCCTCTCTACACCTGGTTTTCCAGCACAAGCTGCCGGGGACCCTCCGTCTGCAAATGCTCGGGTGGGTTTTACCGGCTTCTCTCCAGCGTCACCCCTGGGAAAACGCCGGGCCGCCGATGCGCAGCGCGCCAGGCACGGTGACTCACTGGACGTCCTCGCAGTCGACGCGCGAGCCGGAGTCTCCCAGCGCGGCTCAGCCGGGAGGCCGGGACGTCCATGCCCGGAGGCGATGCGCCTGGGGAGCCTAGCGCTGGGAAGAAACGGCTCTCCCTTCCTGTCCGGCTGCGCCTGAGTCACAAGACCGAAGAAAGCGGTGACGCAACGCGCGTCGTGTGACCGCCAGCCCTGCAACGGGGTCGCCCGCCCCCCACGACCTCTCACCCACTGCTCCTCGGGAGGCTGGTTCGGCGACCTAGACATTTCTGCGGGGGGGGAGGGACGGGACGGGCAAAAGGAGAAGCCTCCTCCCCTAGTGCTGTTGCGTCCCCCCCCCTTTCCCGAGTCTGCATGTGCATCTCCCTTAACCCCCCCCGCCCCCGCGGGCTTTTCCCTCCTGCCAAGAACGGGAGGGCCGGGGGTTTCTAGTGGTTTATCACTCAGATCCTGCCGCCGCCCCGCCCCCCCGTGTAAAATCCCCCTGGCTGATTCGCCGCCCCACGAAGAGCCGCCTACAGAGTCGATCATCCGGGGAGCGGGGGGGGGGCGGGGGGAGGGGGGGTGAGCTGCGCTCCTTCCTCGCCGTCGTTTCCGAGGAACTCCACGAGTTCTGCAAAAACAGCCCTGCGCTCGCCAGGCAGGAAACGCCGCTGCTGGGAAGACTCAGCCGAAACTCAGCCGCCTCTCCTCCCCAAATGCAGAGGCTCGTCTTCCCCCGTGGGACTCCTTAGCGGACCAATGGCAAAACTGGCTGGCCGGCTTGGTTTGCTGGCGGGCCAATCGCTGGCGGGAACGGACGGAGTGAGCCCGCCTCTCGGGTAAGGTATATAAGGCGCTGTCAACCGCGGGGCCCCCGTAGAGTTTCGGTCGCCGCCGCTGGGCTTTCTCCGTCTTGAGCCCGTCGCTTCCGCTTCCCCGCCGTTGGATTATTTGCCGGGGTCCGCCTTGCTCCGTCGGCCTGCTTTGCGGGAAGGCCGGGGCCGGATTCCTTCTCTGCACCGCGGCTGTATCGGAGCCGCCCTCGCCATGACGCTGGAGGAGCTGCTGCCCGGTGACTACGCGGCCGGGAGGTGAGTTCGGCCACCTGACCGCGGGGGGACGGGGAGGGACGGCGTGGGCGAAGGGCCCCCGGAGCGCCTCTGACCCCGCCTGGCTTGCTTTCCAGGATGAGGTCGGTCGGCGCGGCGCTGGAGCGGCTCTTGGTGGCGGCGCAACGGCAGGGCTGCCTGACGGTGGGCGTCTACGAGGCCGCCAAGCTTATGAACGCGTGAGTTACCCCTCCGTCCCCCGAGAGCGCGGGCAGGTGGGAGGAAGGGGGTCGCCGGGACCGATGCAGCCGGCAGCAGCTGCAGGTCGCCGGGAGATCCGGCTGCCCGGGAGCCGCTGACCCCGCCGCCCTTCCCCACCGCCCTTCCCCACAGCGACCCGGACAGCGTGGTGCTTTGCCTGCTGGCGGCGGACGAGGCGGACATCGCGCTACAGATCCACTTCACGCTCATCCAGGCCTTATGCTGCGCCAACGACATCCACATCCTGCGCGCCTCCGGCCTGGAGCGCTTGGCGGCCGTGCTGGGCGAGAAGCCCCCGGACGGCGGCGGCGGCGGCGGGGAGCCGCGGGACCTGCACTGCCTGCTGGTGACGGTGAGCCGGGCGGCGGAGTTGGGGGCGGGGGCGACTGCGCGGCTCTCGCCGGCAGAGAGACTCGGGGGCCTCCCTCCCTGGGCTGGAACTGAGGGTCGCCTTTGTCTTCCTCCCGCAGACCCCGCATACGGATTCGTGGGGCAGCCAGGGCTTGGCGGAGGTGGCCCGATTCTGCCAGGAGAGCCGGTGCAGAGACCAGTGGGTGCCCTACCTGGCTCTGCACGCGCGCTGAGGCCCTGGCCCGTGTCTGGTGCGGAGCGTCGCGTGTGCAACAGTCCGAAGGGAAGAATGTTGTTTCTGTACAAATTCCGCGAGCGCCTGACGGTCGGCAGGCGAGCGGTGGGTGAGTCACGCGAGAGAGTGGAGCAGAGCCAGCAGAAGGTCTGACTTGGTCCCGAGGAGGAGGAGGAGGAGGGGGCTACGCTGCTGCTCCCTCAGCTGACTGCTCCGGAGGAGGAGGAAGAAGCAGAGGCGGCGGGCTGGCGGCTGTGGGAACGTGTGGGCGCCAGGCTCCCCGTGGACGGAGGCGGTCTTCCTGCTGCCTTCCTCCCTGCCCAGGAGAGACGCCGCCGCGATCAGCTGGAACGCCAAATCGCCCGGAGGAGTTCCGACGTGGGGCGGGGCTGCGGGCTCCTCTCCCGGGACTGTCCCCGAAGAGAAATAGCCAGGAGGCCCCGGATTGCGAGCTTGTGCGAAGAGGAGGGAGCTCCAGCCCTCAGCCGAGGAGGGTTGTTCTACTTTTTAAAAACTTCCTGATACTGACGCTTATTTATTTATCTTGGAAGACTTGGAAGGTTTGTTTACCACTTTCCTCTGAAGATGAAAGGAGATGCGGGAGCCAAATGCAAATTTATTCTGGATTAAAAGGGTAATAAACACGTGTTATGTTTGCAAGTAACACGGGAGCAAGTCTTTCTTGGGCCACGGTGGGGGTCGATCTGGCCCAGCTGTTGTGCCAATATCTGCAGCTGGAGTTCCTTGTGGCATTTCCAGGGGGGGGGGTCGTAATTTCCCTGCTG